TTTTCCGTTATAAAATAATATATGTTTCTTCAGAGAATCTGGAAATGCAAAAGGCCCCAAAGAGAAGATAAACATCAGCCATAATTCTTGAGTCAGAGAAAAATCTCTGTCTTTGTGAAGCTTGCTTTCTAGTGATAATCTTTGCAGAAACTAGAAATAGACTAAATAGAGACTGGTTAAATATGTTTCAGTTTATGTATACCATGGACTCTTACCTGCTATATAAAAAGGACAGCAGTAATTAAGAATGGGGTCTCTGTGTTCAGAACTTTTTTTTTTTTAATCAGTTATTTGACCATAGCCTCTTGAAACTTCAGTGTCCTAATATAGTCCCTATATCATAGGGTATTTCTGAAGATTAAATGAAGTATAACAAGTGGAACCCTTTATACAGTATGTGGTACATTGTAAGTGGTTGACAAATGTTGCTAGTTTTATTATGTGCTGATATGGAAATATTTCTAAGATATATTAAGTGTATAATGTAAGGTATCAAGAAAAGATTATTGTATGATGTCATACGTGGACATTAAAGAATAAGGATTTCTAAACTAGCTGGGCATAGTGGCACATTCCTGTAGTCCTAGCTACTTGGGAGACTGAGGCAGAAGAATCACATGAGCCCACATGTTTGAGGCTGCAGTGAGCTATGATCATACCATTGCATTTCAGCCTGGGTGACAGAGCAAGACCCTATTCCTAAAAAAAGTAACAATCAACAACAACAACAACAAGAACAAAAGGATTTCTTGAGTTTCACATAGAAGAATATTGTAGTTTTTTATAGTAGTTTTTTGTTTTACCAGATAACAATGATGTCAACTAGATTGAAATTTTTTTCCTCCAGCAAATATTTACCTATTTGCCAGTAATAGGTAAGAAGGCATACTTTTCTCTTCCCTTTTCAACCAGTTAGAAACCAGCAGCACTTATAGATTGGTTTACTCTTGAAGATGTTTTGAAACTATTAGGTAGTTTTAAATGCCTTCTTATTCCCTACCTCTCTCCTTTTCTTTCTCTAAACTTTTATATCTATCTCTCGGTTGTCTTGGACATTGAGGATATAAAGATTAATAAGACATGGTCTCTTCTCACATAAGTTCCATCTTAGCATTCTTATTCAATTACTTTTGGGGGGAAGGAGTTATGAATTTCTGTCTTCTGTTCCCATTTTTTTTCCACTTCGACTCTGTAAACATCGATTAAACACCTTGTATGTGTTAGGCCCTCTGCTAGAGGGTACAAAGGTCAATAAGATGAAATCTTGCCTCTTAATTGCTTAGTTCTTTTCAAGGAAATTGCTAAACAGATTTCAAAACAATTTGAAAGGTTCTATAACAGATGTTTTGGTCGATTATCACAATGACATAATTCTTGATAGAAAAATGCCACCAGATTTAGATAATATACATTTTCTTTAATGGCAGAAATTAATCTGTTTTGAGACATTTATACCAAGTAAGAGGCAGCATAGCATACTTCAGTCAGTGGTGGAGTTTTCCTAATTCCTCAAGGAGGTTGCAAAGCTGCTTCGGAGAGTGTGTCAGACCTGAGAAGCCAATCCTTGATACTTCACTGTACCCTCCCATCAACCCCACCATACTTATACTTGAGGGTTGCATTACTACTGTTCTAGAGAAACCTTTGCAATTTTTATGTTCTGTCAAAGAGAATACTTACAAACATTGGGCTTTCCAACCACTGACATCAAACTTGTCAGCAAGGCAAGGTTCTATGCTTCAGCAGTGGAAAGCAGTCAAGGGCTCGTCTCCTGTCTTCTGGAAGCTCCATTTCCTTGAATGTATACCAGTAAACGCAGGGAGGTGCCTAACCTGAGTGAAGCAGGACAGAAATAATCAGGCAGGGCTTTATGGAGCATGCGAGATACCTTTTGAAGGTCATTTGCCCTATGTTACTCAGTATCTAATTTGTTAATTTTCCTCACTAAGGCAGAGTAATAAGAACTGAAGAGTTTTGAGCTAAATTGTAAACATCTCTAAAAATATGATGAAGACATCTCTAAAATATAAGGACATTTTTCTAAATTACTACAGTGATGCTTTTACTCATTAAAAACTTTTAAAAAAGCAACAGTAACTCTTATGTAATAATTTGCCCATGTTCAAATGTTTCATCTCCACAAATGTCTTTTATAGCTGATTTTTTCAGATCAGGATCCAGGAATAACCATGTGTTGCATTTGATTATGTCGCTTAAGTCTGTTTTCCCCCCTTAAATAGATTTTGTCTATTGTGTCTCGTCTTTTTACTCTAAAATGTAGCCTGCTACCTTCATTTTTTTATTTACTCATCACATTGACCCACTGAAGAGCTTGACATGTAGAATGACTTATCTTCTATTTTTTGTAATTGCTTTCTTATGGTATTAACTTGCTACTCTGTCTTCTCTATTTCTTGTAAACTGGAAGTTAGATGAAAAGGTTTGATTCCATTCAGATCCAACATTTTCGGCACAGATACTTAGTAGGAGATACAGTGTTGTTTTTCTCTAATCTGTTGTTTTCTTTGTCTTTACTACCAACTACACACAATGGTAGAACTCCGAGGTAACCCAGCCCTCCCCACCCTTGGACGCGGATAGTCACAGTACTGAATTATCTGCTGTTCTTGTCCCTTTTGGGGGGGATTTTTAGCTAGCCCTTTTTTTGGCTTGTCCCTGATAACCCTTACCCTTTGCATCTTCCCTGACTTCTGTCTTAGATGTAAATAGTGCCAGTTCCAAGAGCTCTTACTCTCTAATTTGACATATTGTATTGAAACCTTTTTTGGTGACTTAGTATGAGTAGCTCAACTAGCCTCTCTTAGGAGAGTTTAGTCTAAACTTTGCTTACTCATTTTTACTTAGGGTTTACTTCTGATTCCATGAAGAATGACTAGAAATGGGAGAGGCAGACCCAGAGTGGCCTTATCATCCTTGGGTCATTCTGGAAATCATGGCTACATAGGGCATCTGAAAGTAGGAGTGACTCAGAGGAAGTGTTAAATGCAACATGATTTTCCCTAGGATGTGGGTACTTTGCTTGTTATTTCCAACATCCGGTGATGAATGGCCTGAGTGGATACTTTTTTGGGTGAAAACTGTAATGCGTGTTAACATTAGCATGTAGAAATAGAGAGGGTTTAAAGAAATAGGTACATCAAATACTGAATCATGTTTTCTTGAGGAGGAGGAGATGGTATTCTCATATTATGACTTAGAGGCATAAAGAACTGCAGAGGTTTGACCTATTTTTCCTTCCACTTTGCAGTTAATATTAACAGCTTATTAGAAGTAACAGAAGACTCCTTGGTGTCATTTCCTCTGTGCACTGTCACGGGGAGTAAGGAAAATTGTCATGGAAAAGTAACCTATGAGAAAGGATTTCAGCAGATATCAGGGCCCATGTTTGTTTGTCACATTTCTTTCTTGCATATTTTGGATCATGGTATGGTTAAAGATGCAGTTTTTTTTTTTTTTAATTGTAGAGATGAGGGCTTGCCAAGTTGCCTAGGCTGGTCTCGAATCTGTGAGCTCAGAGAATCCTCTCACCTTGGCCTCCCAAAGTGCTGGAATTACAGCAACTGCGCCCATCCAAGATACAGTTTTTTATTTGGGGAGATTTCCTCACACTTCTTGAAATCTTTGTGGAAGTTTTTGGTAACAATACCTTCCTTGTCTGGGTTGCAGATATTTTTATGGCTTGGTTTGAAAATGGTTCATGTTGCATCATTATAACTTATTTTAGCATTATTACAGATTTTCTTTTTTGAAGAAATTATATCATGTAGAGGATATTTGTAATATGGGGATTCTCTTTTTTTTTTTGAGTTGGGGTCTTACTCTGACACCCAGGTTGGATTTCAGTGGTACACTCATGGCCACCGCAGCCTTGACCTGCTGGACTCACGCGATCCTTCCCCCTTGGCCTCCCGAGTAGCTGGAACTACAGGTGCTCGCCACCACACCTGGCTAATTTTTTATTTTTGTAGAGACAAGTTGTCGTTATGTTGCCCAGGCTGGTTTCGAACTCCTGGGCTCAAGAGATCCTCCCACCTTTGGCCTCCCAAAGTGCTGGGATTACAGTTGTAAGCCACTGTGCCTGGGAGGCTTTTCTTTCTTAACTATACTTGGAGTAATGTCACTTCTTAACAATTAATGATACCTTGAATTTGATGAGATATAGCAGTTTACGATTTGGTTTACTCCGGGTTTTGCCCCAAGACACTGAGGTAGTGCTGAAATTGGCATACTGAGTTGAGTAACACTAAGGTAGGTAAGTTACTTCACTACCTATTAAAAAAAGTTGAGCTAATTCACTATCTTGAGCCTTAAAGAATGATAACTCCTTTATCTTTGCATACAAATTTCTAATTGTGTAGTCGGCTATAGCTATGCTAAGTGAATGTGTGTGAAATGACTGAAAATGGAAGAAGGAAGGAGGTATTGAAGAAAAGTAGGGGAAAAGATTGCATCCTAAGTCTGAATGTCTTTTGGCAAATGAGATTGTCTTGAAACTCAACTGTAAATTTCAGTGGGGACCAAGATGTTCAGGGCTCTGAATTAAACCACTGAATTTTTCCTCCTAATTCTTATAATAAGTTGATTTGTTTATAAAATATTATAGAATTGATTTTATATTTTTGAAATATATACATGTTAATATATATAGTTTTTTATAGCTTCTATCTGTATATTCAGCTTTGCAGAGCTTTTAGCTCTATCATAGGCCAAAGTGTGTTCCCTAAAGTGCCATATAATAAAAAACCTCATGTAAGTTTGCTGTCACTCTTGTACCCTATATTGACATTATAAAGATCTTCTAATGTGGTTACAAGCTAGTAAAGAACTTCCTGAAATGTTTTATGAATTTATAGCCTTATTGATATGCCGAGATCTTGTTGTTCTTTAAATGAGTCTTTAATATGTTTAACTTCCCTCTATTTTAAGCTGATTAAAAAAAATTATGTGTATAATGTTTTTGCTTTCTTCATTATAGAACTGTGGCAGCTGAAGTGAGGAAGCAGATCTCTGGACAGTATAGTGGTTCTCCCCAGCTGCTCAAAAACCTCAACATTGTTGGCAATATATCCCATCATACCACAGTAAGTAGCACTAATCAACACTAATTTCATAACCTTACTTATTGCTACCTCAGTCTTTTTTGAAATTTGGTTTGGAAGAAGGGGTTAGGAGGTGTTATAGATGTGTTAGTTTCCTAGTTAACTCTGAAACTTTACATCCTGGATTTAATCATTTCTGGAATTGTACATTTTGAACTTTTCATACCTAAGGTGATTCATTATGTGAAAATTTAGGAATCTGTTTAAGAAATAAGGGCTGGGCACAGTTGCTCACACCTGTAATTCCAGCTCTTTGTGAAGCCAAGGTGGGAGGATCGCTTGAGGTCAGAAGTTCAAGACCAGCCTGGGCAAAATAACAAGATCTTGTCTGTAAAAAAAATGTTTTTAATTAGCTGGGTGAGGTAGCTTGAGCCTATTGTCCCAGTTACTCGGGAGGCTGAGGCAGGAGGATTGCTTGAGTCTAGGAGTTTGAGGTTACATTGAGCTATGATCATGCCGCTGTACTCCAGCCTGTGTGACAGAGCAAGATTTTACCTCAAAAAATAAATAAATAATTAATTAGAAAAAAAATTCTAGAAATAGGCACCGAAGTAAATATTAAATAATTATGTGTGCTTATAGTATTATCTGTCTTCAAGAGAAATGAATTTATGTTGTTGCATCATTATCATTATCCAGGTACTGTATCAAAGACATAAATATGCTCTTATTAAAGAAGCTTACATGCAGACAATCAGTTTTGATAAAAACTCATATTTATTAGTTATATAAGGATGTGAATTAAAAGCAGTTCCACGGTCATTTTTTTTTCAAATGCTGTAGAAAACTGAAAAAGTAAATAAGCATGATAGGGAGAAGTTATATATCAGCATTAACATTTTTCATATTGCTATGAAAAGGTACCAGTTATTAAACAAACGGAAATGACAGTTTGATTTATGATATGTTTATAATGCTTGGGTTACTGAAATTTTAAAACGAAGTTTACTTTAAATTACAGTAACATACTAATTGGAGAAATTTTAGAATGTATGGATTTCTGGGTGATTTCAATATACATGGACGATGATGATCCTTGTATCCAACACAGTCTTTGTGTCTTGCACTCCTCCTCTCTACTGATAGCTGTGCATCTTGAATTGCACCTCAGCTATTTAGAATTTCCCTAGCCAGAACTTAGATTTTGTCATGATTACTAGAACCCGTGTGTAATCTCAGTTTTAGGCTTCCCACTCTCTGATCACTACCTCTGTTGTTTTTTTTTTTTGAGTTGAGGTTTCACTCTGTCACCCAGACTGGAGTGTAGTGGCACAGTCGTGGCTCACTGTAGCCTTGACCTCCTGGGCTCAAGTGATCCTTTTGCCTCGAGGCCTCTTGAGTAGCTGGAACATGAAACAGGTGCATGCCACCTAACCCGTATGATAAGGTCTCACTGTGTGGCCTAGGCTGGTCTTGAATTCCACGGGCTCAGGCAGTCCTCTCACCCTGGCCTCCCAAAGTGCTGGGATTACAGGCGTGGGCCAACCGCTTAGCTTTTTTGCCCTCTTGTTCTGGTACCCTAACTTCACTGTCTTTTTGTTTCACCAGATCCTAGAATCCATGAAACCACTGAATTAGTCATATGTAAGGACCTTCGAGGCTTTGTCATTATCTTCATCGAGGATTCATTTGTGACATTTTAAAGCTTGAAATGTATACTGCCCTAGAGATAATACCTGGGTGCAGAAGCATTGAATTAGAAACATTTATAAAGTTTTTATTTAAAAAACAAATTTAATACATATTTATATTAAATATAAATTTTGCCACAATATATAGTGGTAAAATATATATAACATAAAATTTAACAACTTACTTTCAGATATGCAATTCACTGGTATTAAGCACATTTACAGTATTGAACAACCATCACCACTATTTATTTTCAGAACTTTTTTGTCGTCCTCAGCTGAAACCCTATGCCTATTAAATGGTGTCTTCCCATTTCTCTCTCCTCCAAACCCCTGGTAATTTCTATGCTATTTCCTGCCCTTATCGATTTGCCTGTTCCATGTATGTGATACAAGTGGAATCATAGAATATTTGTCCTTTTGTGTCTGGCTTATTTTACTTAGCACAGTATCTTCAAGGGTCATTCAGGTTATAACCTGTACCAGAATTTCATCCCTTTTTAAGGTTGAATAATATTCTATTGCATGTATGTATCTCATTATATTTATCCATTCATCTGGTGATTGACATTTGGGTTATCTCCGCCTTTTGGCTATCGTGAATAATGCTGTTGTTAACAGGTATATGCAAGTATCTGTTTGAGTCCCTAATTTCAGTTCTTTTGGGTATATACCTAGAAGTGGAATTACTAGATCACAGGGTAATTCCATGTTTATTTTATGCTTTTTGAGGAATCACCAGCAACTGTGGTATTTTATATTTCCACAGCAATTGTGCCATTTTATATTTCTACCAGCAATGCAGAAGAGTTCCAATTTCTCCCTATTGTTGCCTACACTTGTTATTTTCCATTTTAAAAAAATAATAGGCATCGTAATGAATGTGAAGTAGTTTCTCAATTGTATTTTTGAGTTACATTTCCTTCATCCTAAAAATTTTAGGTTATATTTTCATTTAGTTCAATGTATTTTTTCATTTCACTTTTTAAACTTGTATAACTCATGATTATTTAGAAGTGGGCTTTTTAATTTCCAAGTGCTTGGAGATTTTCTTGTTACCTTGTGGTTGCTACTTTCTTTTTTTTTTTGAGTTGGAGTCTCACTCTGTCGCCCAGACTGGAGTGCAGTGGCTGCTCCCGGCCACCGCAGCCTCGACCTGTTGGGCTCTGGCAATCCTTCTGCCTCAGCCTTCCAAGTAGTTGGAACTACAGGCGTGCGCCACCACGCCCGGCTGCTTTTTTGATTTATTGTAGAGATGAGGTCTCGCTGCCCAGGCGGGTCTCGAACCCATGGGCTCAGTCAATCCACTCACCTCAGCCTCCCAAAGGCGTGGAATTACAGGCTGAGCCATCAAGCCCGGCTTGGTTGCTACTTTCTAGTTTGATTCTGTTGTAGTCAGAGAATACATTCTGTCTGGTTTCTGTTCTTGTAAATATGTTGAGATTTGTTTTACGAGTCAGGGTAGGTCTGTCTTGGTATATGCTTTCTAGGTCTTCAAAAAGAACGTGTATTCTGCTGTCATTGGATGAGGTGTTCTCTAAGTGTCATTTAAATCCTGTCGGTTGAGTTCTACTATATCCCTGTTGATTTTCTGTCTGACGTTGTTCTACCCGAAGTTGTCTTTCAGTTGTTGAGAGAGAGCTCTTGAGATCCCCAACTGTAATTGTGAAAGCCTTATTTCTTCTTTCATTTCTGCCAGCTTTTTTGCCCCACATGTTTTGTAGTGTATTGTTTAGTGCACACACATTGAAGATTGTTATGTTCTCTTGGTGGATCACCCTATTTACTGTCTAGGAATGTCCCTCTTTATTTGGTACTTTGCTTTGCTCTGAAGTTTGCGTTTCCCCATATGACTTTCTTTTTTTTGAGTTGGAGTCTCACTCTGTCGCCCAGACTGGAGTGCAATGGCACGCTGCTGGTCACCGTAGCCTCGACCTGCTGGGCTCCGGCGATCCTTCCGCCTCAGCCTTCCAAGTAGCCGGAATTACAGGCATGCGCTACCACACCCGGCTGATTTTTTGATTTATTGTAGAGAAGGTCTCGCTGCCCAGGCGGGTCACGAACCCGCGGGCTCAGGCAATCCACTCACCTCGGCCTCCCAAGGGCACGGGATTACAGGCTGAGCCACTGAGCCCGGCTATGACTTTCTTTTGATTAATGTTTATGGTTATGTTTTTTCCCCATACTTCTATTTTCAACCTACCTGTGTGTGGTGTTATTTAAAGTGAGTTCTTTGAAGATACATGTAGGTAGGTCATGTTTTAAAATCCATTCTGCCAATCTGTTCATTGGTATATGTAGGCCATTTGCTTTTTTTTTGAGTTGCAGTCTCACTCTTGTTACCCAGGCTGGAGTGCAGTGGCACGCTTATGGCCCCCACAGCCTTGACCTGCTGGGCTTAGGCGATCTTTCCGCCTTAGCCTTCCAAGTAAATGGAACTACAGGTGCGAGCCACCATGCCTGGCTAGTTTTTGTGACTTTTATTGTAGAGACGAGGTCTCCATCTTGCCAAGTTGCCCGGGCTGGTCTCGAGCCCCCAGGCTCAGGCAATTCTCTTGCCTCAGTCTTCCAAAGTGCTGGGATTACAGGCTGAGCCACCATGCCCTGCTGACTATTTACATTTAATGCTATTATTGTTCTGCTAAGATTTAAATATATCATCTTATTTTTTGTTTGTTCTCTCTATTTTTCACTTCTCTTTTCTTTTTTTCTGCCTCCCTGGGGGTTGCCTAAACATTTTTTAGGATTCCATTTAGATTTATAGTGTTGAGTGTATCTCTTTTTGTATAGCTTTTAGTGTCTGCTCAAGGTATTATATACACATAACTATCTCACTAATGATGTTGATATTTTGCCAGTTTTTTTCTTTTCTTTTTATTTCAATAGCTTTACGGATATTTGACCAGTTTGAGTGAAGCATAGAAACTTTACCTACCTGTACGTTCCTTTACTCTTCCCTAATATATTTAATTGTGTTAAACATTTTCTGTATATACATTTAGAATCATATTGGACAATTTTTTTCTTCAACCATGAAAAATCTATAATTTTGCTTACACTGTGTTTGCTTTTCCTTCCTGATATTTCCAAATATCTTTTATTATTTTCTTCCTGTTTAGAAAATTTCTTTTGACTATTCTTTTATGTTATGTCTGCTGGTGACAGTCTCTTAGTTTTTCTTTATCAGAGTATGTCTTGATTTCCCCTTCATTCTTGAACCTACATTTGCTAGATCTAGAATTTCGGATCAACAGTTCTTTTCTTTTAGCACTTGAAAAATGTTGTGTGTCATGTTCTTCTGATCACCATGAATTTTGATGATAAATTTTTAATTTGAATTTTTTCCCCCTAGTGGTGAGGTGTCATTTCCCCCTCACTGCTTTCAAGATTTGTGTGTGTTTAGTTTTCAGAAATTTGACTGATGTGGTCTTGGTATATATTTATTTGGGTTTATCCTGTTTAAAGTTTACTTAGCTTATTAGATTTGTAGGCTTATGTCTTTTTCAAATTTAGAAATTTTCAGCCTTTATTTATTCAGATATTTTTTTCAGCCCTGCTTTCTTTTTCCTCACTTTGCAGGACTCTGATGACATTAATGCTAGATATTTTCTTGTCCATCCCCTGAAGTTTAGTTTTTTGTTTTTGTTTGTTTTCAGTCTGTTTTCTTTCTGTTGTTCAGATTGAGTAATTTTTATTTTCATTTTTCAAAGTAACTGATTTTTACTTCCTCTGCCCCCTCTATTCTCCTATTGTACCTGCTTGTTTAATTTTTTTTATTTTGGCTATTGAATTTTTCAGTTCTAAAATGTACATTTAGTTCTTTATATTTTCTATTTCTTTGCTGAAACTTTCTGTTTCTTTACAGAGTGTTTCTATTTTTTCATTTGTTTTTAAGAGTGTTTGCAATTACTGTTCAAGTATTTCTCTGATGTTTGTTTTAAAATCTGTCACATAATGCTAAGATCTCTTATCTTGGTATTGACATCTATAGGTTGTCATTTTTCATTCAAGTTGAGATTTTCCTGGATTTTAGCATGATAGGAGATTTTTTAAAATTGGAAATGGGACATTTTGGGTCTTTTGTTGTGAATCTCTAGATCTTATTTAAACATATTTTTACTACATCCTCTGACATGGCTCTGGTTGGAGATAAGAGTGTGTTATCTTGCTGTGGACAGATGGATGGGGTAGAAGTCCAAGCTTCCCATTCGTCTTCTTGATATGCGAGGAAGGAAGGGCTCCTCCTTACTCTTGGGCAGGAGCAGGAGCTTCCACTTCTACAAGACCGCTGCTCATACAGCTTAGCTGGAAAGAGCAGTAGTGCCTTAGCACTGCTTTTCGCATGGCCTCCACTGGCACCTGGGCTGTGTGGCCTTGCTACACTGGGCAGTGGTGAAAGTCTGACTCTCCACTAGGCCTCCTCTGACACTGCCTGGCAATCAAGGGAAGGGGAGCCATGTTGCCTCTTTGTGGGAGTGGATGTCCAGGTTCTTGAGTAGTTTCTACTGACACTGTGCAGGCGAGGGACTCATTATTGCACAGTAGGTGTGAAAATCCCACCTCCCTTCTTGGACTTCTGATACCACCCTGACCCAGAGAGTTGGGAGGCCTTGTTACAGCTGGTTGAGGGTAGACGTCTGGCTCCCCACTTGGACTTTGCTGGTGTGGGTATAGGGTGGGGACCACAGTTTTTCATGTGGTATTGGGCTGGAGTAGGAAGTTATTGTCTAAATGTTTTTTGTTTTTCTAGGCTGCCTCTTTCTTGATCCTTTGGCTGGAGAGAACAGGCTTTTTCTGGTTTCTGTGTTGTTTTCCTATGTTCCTTGTTGTTTCTGGATTGAGGGCTTCTCTAGCTCTAAATCTGGAATATATTAGGCAAAAAGAAATTTTGAGGTAACTCACTGTTGTGCCATCCCTTGGATTCTGATGCCCTTGCCAGTCTGCCGTTTTCTCTTTACCTTTCAGAGTCTTGTTATGTTTGTTTTGCACTCAGTGTCTAGGATTTTTAGTTGTGCTTAGTGGAAAGAACGGAAAAAAGTACACCTACTCAGTCTTCCCAGAAGTGGAAGTACCCTCTGGTGACTTTTGACGTTGAGCACTTTTTCACGTGCTTTGTTGGCCATTTCTATGTCTTCTTTTGTGAAATGTCTCATCAGTTTCCCTTTTTTCTATTTATTTGAGGGTGCGACTTTTTAATATATTCTAGGTACTAGTACTTTATCAAATATGTTTTGCAAATATTATCTCTTAGTGTGTCTTGTTAATCATTTTCTTAACAGTCTTTTGATGTATCACTTTTTAAATTGTTCTTTGTTGTGTGGTGTGTAAGAAACTTGGCCTACTCCTAAATTATAAAGATATTCTGCTGTGTTTTCTTCTAGCAACTTTATAGTTTCAGCATTTGTGTTTGTCTGTGATCCTTTTCAATTTAATTTTTGTATATTTTGTGATATAAATGCTGAGGTTATTTTTCACTTGGTTATCTAGTTGTTGCAGTAACAATGATTGAAAACGATTTCTCTTTTTCTATTGGATTGCTTTCTTGTTAAGAACAACATCATAGTATAATTTATACCTGATAGGATAGGTTAGATAGAATGTTTATCAGAGAGAAAACTGTAAATTTTAGAGCTCGAAGACTCAGTTTTAAATGTCTTCTCTATCATTTTGTGGCTATTTTATTTTTAGACATTGGTTAACTTTTTGAGTACAAATGCCTTTATTTGTAGAATGGAAATAGTAATTATCTCTTAACTTACAGGGCCTGGGGGAGATTTAAATGAGATAACATAGGATGGTAGTAAATGCTGTCTTTTGAATGTTTATGATGTGTTAGTCATGTATTATTTTACTCAGTATCTTTAAAATGTTGCTACTTGTTTAGTCTAAAGAAGCATAGGTGAAAGCACCTTCTACTTATTAGTGGATATCTGTACAGAGGCAGGTTTCAGTGTTTTTATTCCAGATGAACATCTTGAGAAATAACATGGTCTTATTTTCTTTTTCTTTCTTTTTTTTTGAGTTGGAGTCTCACTCTGTCGCCCAGACTGGAGTGCAGTGGCTGCTCCCGGCCACTGCAGCCTTGACCTGCTGGATTCCGGCGATCCTTCTGCCTCAGCCTTCTAAGTAGCTGGAACTACAGGCATGCGCTACCATGCCCGGCTAATTTTTGATTTATTGTAGAGATGAGGTCTTGCCAAGTTGCCCAGACGGGTCTCGAACCCGCGGGCTCAGGCAATCCATTCACCTCAGCCTCCCAAAGATGCAGGATTACAGGCTGAGCCCCTGAGCCCAGCTGTGGTCTTATTTTCATTGGCTTACAACTGCATGTTTGTTATACATCCTTCACAGTTTTGGCTGAATATTTTTTCTTTCTTGAATTAGATAAGAAATATGATATCTTATTTAAAAAGTATATTTTCAACTTAGCTAAAGATTGCCTTTAATCTTTTATTATTGCTAATAGATACTTTTAATAGGGTCTGTGGCTACTATGACAAATTACCACAAAACAGGTGGCTTAAAACAAAACAAATTTATTCTCTCATAGTTCTAGTGGCCAGAAGTCTGAAATCAGTATCACTGGACTGAAATAAAGTTTTGGCTGGGTTGTGCTCCCTTCAGATGCCATAGGGAGCATTTGTTTCTTGCCTCTTTCAGATTCTGTAGCTTCTGCCATTTCTTGGCTTGTGGCCGCATCTCTGATCTCCTTAAGGCCAGAATTTTTAAATCCCTCTCTGCCCCATCTTTATACTGCTTTATTCTCTGTGTGGATGGCCCAGATCGCCTCTGTCTCCTCGTAGGATATATGTGATTGCCATTAGGACCTATCTTTCATTGGAAGATCCATAATCACATCTGCAGACTCTTATTTTTTTTTTTTTTACATATAAGGTAGCATGTATGGGGTCCATGGATTAGGGAGTGGAGAATTTCTGGAGGTCTATTTTTTGGCCAACCATAGGCTGATTATATGTTCTTACTAGGATAGTCAACAGTAGCAACAAATAAAATAAAAGCACTTATCTTTTTTATATCCATAGATATGGTCATAGATATAAATAAGTACTTTGTAAGCTGTAAAGTATAATAAAATGGTTGATTATTATTTCTGTTTTTATGTAAGAGTTGTGGACAAAGTCTTAGTAACAAGGTTAAAAAGAGTATGACCCAAAATACAAAGGAGAACAAGAAGACCATCACTTTGTATTTTCTTTAGTGTACCTGACTGAGTAACTGTTAAAGTTTTAGAAAGAACTAGACTAGAATCATATATATATGTATTTTTTTAAATAATAAAATATCTTTGCTGGGCATAGTGGTTCACACCTGTAATCCTAGCACATTGGGAGGCCAAGGTGGGAGGACTGCTTGAGCCCAAGATTTTGTGACCTGCCTGGATAATATAGCACTACCTTGTTTCTCCAAAAACCCTATAGTCCTGGCTACTCAGGAGACTGAGATGGAAGGATTGCTTGAGCCCAGGATTGAGGCTGTATTGAGCCACAATCATGCCACTGCACTCTAGCCTGAGCTAGTGAGACCCCAACTGAAAAAACAACAACAAAAAAACCCCCCAAAACAAAAAAACTTCTTTGCTTAAAGTTTTAAAATTCTTTTGTTTTGTTTTGTTTTTTTGAGTTGGAGTCTCACTCCGTTGCCCAGGCTGGAGTGCAGTGGCATATTCACGGTCCCCCAGTGTGGCCCTTCCGCCTCAGCCTTCCAAGTAGCTGGAACTATAGGCGCGCGCTACCATTCCCAGCTAATTTTTTGATTTATTGTAGAGATGAAGTCTGCCAAGTTGCCTAGGCTAGTCTCGAACCGTGGGCTCCCAAAGTACTGGGATAACTGATTTGAGCCACCGCGCCTGGCCGTTTTAAAATTCTTACGTTCACTTCTTACAATTTTCTATTGCTTTTTGTAAAGGTTCCCCTTACTGAAGCAGTGGATCCGGTGGACTTGGAAGAATACCTCATTACTCATCCTTTAGCTGTGGATTCTGGGCCTTTGCGGGATTTGATTGAATTTCCTCCAGATGATGTTGAGGTTGTTTATAGTCCTCGGGACTGCAGAACCCTTGTTTCAGCTGTACCTGAAGAAAGGTAAAGAGACATCTGCCTGTTTTTGGTTCTGGGGTAACTATAGAAAGACTACCTTCCATTATTTTATTTAGAGCCTATTTATTGTAATGTGTCATTTTCTATGATAAGAACAAGAACTGGCTGGACTCAGTGGCTCATATTTGTGATGCCAGCACTTTGAGAGGCTGAGGCGGGAGAATTGCTTGAGCCCTTGAGTTTGAGACCAGCCTAGGCAACAGAGTGAGACTTCCTCTCTATAAAAAAAAAGAAAAGAAAATTAGCCAGGTGTAGGGACACATGGGGTAGTCCCAGCTACTCAGGAGTCTAAGGTGGAAGGATAGCTTGAGCCCAGGACGTCTGAAGCTCCTGTGAGCCTTGACAGTCCAGCCTGAGCAACATAGTGAGACTGTGACTTAAAAAAACAAAACCAAACCAAAAACCCAAGAATTGCAACAACCGAATTTATGAACATCATTACTTTCTTGTCTAAATTACAAATACATTTTCTTTTTTAAAATAGTGAGATGGATCCACATGTTAGAGATTGCATAAGAAGTTATACAGAAGACTGGGCAATTGTGATCAGAAAGTAAGTTGCATGTTTATTATAACATTTAAAAATACCGAGTAGGATTTGTAAATGGATTAAAGATTAAAGTAGATTCATAATAATTATGAGAGTTGAAAATTTATTTAACAAAATAGTCAAGGATACAAAAGACAAATCTTTGCATATAGATATTTTCTCCTTAGGAGTTCCACAATTACTTTTACTTACTTTCCTTATAAAATACAGGTTTGCAGGCATTGTGTTTTTATATTATTATAAATCACTAAGAACTAATAATATATAATGATAATGATTTTGAGTCTAATTCTTTCAGTAAGTCAAGGGTAGATATTGGTGAGTAATTTGTATTTCTTAAAAAGAACCTAACTTAGCAAAACTTAAATAGCTAGGTTAAATTAAATAACCAGTTTTCCAGATCAAGGTATTTGAAAGATCTCTTCCCTTTCTAACTAATGTTTATAGTTCCTTGACCTGTACATCTAATCAGGTAAATATTTGTAAAAAAAATAATATTTTGTTCTACCCAAAATTTATTTTTTTAATGGACTGTGTTTGAAATAACAAGTCAGATTAAGAAACAAAATAAACTATGGTTTCCTTTGCTGTTTTGCATAATGAAGGGTTTTCATCCTTAAACTTCTTAGCCTGATTTTTCTACACAAGACGTAGAGTAGTGGAGAATTCTGATACGACATTATATTTTTCACAAATGAAGTAATCTGTGCTGAACAGCACTTGCAAAGTTGACGTGTCCATTGCTGGCTGTTTTGCCTTCATGCTGCTGTCCTATTCAAGTGGGCTTAATATTGTGCTTCATATCCTTCCGGAAGATAATGCTGACATGCCTTTCAGTTTTAGTGTGACCCAATAAAAGCACAGTCTGCTGCCCTCTATATGGAAGAGCTGCTTTTGTGAATTTTGAAATTTGATAAGTATTCTAGTAGCCAGATTTTAGACAGTACTGAAGAAAACTGTTCCTCTGTCAGATAATTCAAAAGTCTTTACCTCTATGCATGTATGTTGGAAACCTATCACCAGAAATCTTAATTAAAAAAGGGTAAAGGTAGAATATGTTGACCTGAGAATCATGCATACTACTTAATGGGGACTTACTAGGTGCTGGGCATTTTATTGGCACTTTATAGTCATCTCATTTAAGGTTCTAATACATAGGATAGCTCGGCTCAGAGTAGTTAAGTAACTTCTCTGAAATCCCACAAGCCAAAAAGTGGGATGCTGGGATTGGAACCCAGGGGCATCAGATGCTAAAGCTCATATTTTTTCTGTTATACTAGGTATTATACAGTATGCATTTTATATTATGCACTGGTAAATGGAAGACAGAAAGTAAGCTTTTGGTGAATTAGAAGTTATGAGATATCTCTGAAAGATAAAAGATAGGTGTTTGGAACATAAGAGAAAACCACAGTACAGAATAATCGAAAGTGAAAATACATGCAAAAGTTCCAGTAGTGCTTTAGGCTCAGAAGCAATGAGTAATGAAAGGGGATGTCGGACGTTTGGTTACGTGGAAACCTCCTATACCATGTGTGCATGTCTGTGGCACCAGAGTTACCTGCCTTTCATGGCACGGTCATATTGGAGGCTTGAGCTGATAGGATAGTGCCCAGGGTTAGCACACCTTGGAGGAAGAGGGACCCCCCTCATCCCCAGAAGACTAGGTACTTTCAGACCTTGCCTGACAGATGATCTGCCTCTTCCCCCACAATTACTGGGAATGGACTGGGGTAAGCAGATACAGTAGTTCAAGCCAGTTGTGGGGATACAAATTTAAAAAATGGACATAGATTCCAGAATTGCCAAGTACATGATGCAAATCAATACACTTGAAAGAGAACTATCAAACTATAATTAAAGAACTAATGGTTGTGGCTGGACACAGTGACTCATGTCTATAATTACAGTACTTTGGGAGGCTGATGCAGGAGGATTGCTTGAACCCAGGAGTTCAAGACCAGCCTAGGCAACCTAGCAAGATCTCATGTCTACCAAAAATAAAAAAATTAGCTGGGTGTGATAGCACATACCTATAGTCTCAGCTACTTGGGAGACTGAGGAGGGAAGATTGTTTGAGCCCAGGAGTTTGAGGCTTCAGTGAGCTGTGATCGTGCCACTGTACTCCAGCCTGGGTGGTAGAGTGAGACCTCAACTTAAAAAGCAAATCACACACACACCAGTAATTTAGGAAATAGTCGATAGAACACAGATTAAGACTCATACATATAATGAATGAATACACTTATGAATTAATGTATATTAGAGATGTGAAAGGATATTTTAACCATATAAAATCAGTTAGTTATCTTTGGAAACTAACATTTTGATCAGTGAAAAAATATTAAGAACTCAGCAGATGGGCTTACTGGCAGAGTGGATGTGGCTGAAAAGTGAAATAGCTGTAAGATGAAGCCACAAGATTCTTTCATAATTCAGCACAGAATGATAAGGGAACAGACAGTACTTCATTTATTTATTTATTAATTGAGTGAATACTTACTGAGAATTGTATGTATTATACTAAATACTGATGATAAAGCAATGAGCAGAACAAACTCCCTGCCCTCGCGGATCTTTTGTTCTGATGGGAATAAGGTCAACAGACAACAAACCAACACAGATGAAAACATAACAGATATGGTGGAGGTAAGTCTTGTAGAGAAAAAAGGTAGGGTGAAGGGGATAGAGAGGGCCAAGAAGAGGTACACGATTTTCTATTTCTTGTAAGTAATCAGGGGAAGCCTTACTGGTAAGGTGATTTTCACTCTTCACTGGTGAATATCGGGCAGAGTGTAGGTAGAGGTAATTAGGTAGAGGTAAGAGCAATGCGTGTGAAGGCCCCTATGGGAAGCACACTGGAAATGCTCAAGGAATAGTACGAGTGCAACATGGCTGGAACAGGATAAATGAGGTTGAGGATGCCAGGAGATAAGCCAGAAAAAATGAGGGTCAGATGGGTAATCACGTAGAGCCCTATGGCAGCTAACGAAGGACAACATAATAATATAGAAAAGAGTATTGATCATGAATCATTCTCAGCTTTTTGAATTTCATATTGTCTAGTTTTAAAGGTAGAATGTAACACTATTACGATTTATCAGCAACTTATAGATACACTTCACAAATTAAGGTACTTGAAACATTTCATTAAAGATTAAGATACCTGTGTCTAAATGTTACCTTTCTTTCATTTTTAAAAATGTTTATATATTTAGGAGGTACAAGTGCAGATGTCCTTTTTAAAAATTTATTTATTTTAAAAATTTGGGGTACAATTCAGGATTAGGTATACAAGTAGTCATCGTACAGGAAAAGTTTGGACTTCCCTTTGGTCCCCACTTTGCCTGATTTGACATCAGGTACCCTTATTGATGTTTTGTTCCCTGTCCTACCCCGCAGTATTCCACTACTGCCAGTCCCTTTCTTTTTTTTTTTTTTTTGAGTTGGAGTCTCACTCTATTGCCCAGACTGGAGTGCAGTGGCCGCTCCCGGCCACCGCAGCCTCGACCTGCTGGACTCCGGCAATCCTTCCGCCTCAGCCTTCCAAGTAGCTGGAATTACAGGCATGCGCTACCATGCCTGGCTGATTTTTTGATTTATTGTAGAGATGAGGTCTTGCTGCCCAGGTGGGTCTCGAACCCTTGGGCTCAGGCAATCCACTCACCTCAGCCTCCCAAAGGCGCAGGATTACAGGCTGAGCCACCGAGCCCGGCTGCCAGTCCCTTTCTTATAGTATTATGGTAAATGTTCAGGGTCTGCTTTTAAATGAGAACATGTGGTAGTCTGTTCTTTGTTTCTGCAATAGATCACTGAGTATGATAAACTCTAAATCTATCCAAGTTGCTACCAAGTCCATATGTTTGTTCTTCTTTATGGCTGTGTAATATTCCATCATGTATACGGACCACTTTTTTTTTTAAATCCAGTCCAGTTTTGATGGGCAGCATGGTTGGTTCCATGTTTTTTCTCTTGTGAATAATGCGCAATAAACGTGTGTGCAGGTATCTTTTTTGTAGAATGATTTGAGTTCCTCTGTGTGTATCCCAAGTAGGGGATTGCTGGGTCACGTGGAAAGTCAATATGTAGTTCTTTTAGAAAGTTCCAGACTGTTTTCTATAGAGGTTGAACTAGTTTGCATTCCCACTAGTAGAAGTGTCTACTTTTCTCTGTATCCTTGCCAGCATCTATTGTTGTTTGTTTTATTAATGATGACCAATCTTACTGGGATTAGGTGGCATCTCAGTGTGGTTTTCATTTGCATTTCTCTGATGATTAGTGAGGCTGAGCACTTTTTCATGTGTATATTGACTGCCCATATATCTTTTTTTGAGAAGTGGTAGGTTGCTATTTTAATAGCTTTATCAACAATACCAGACATGAGTGATTTATATCAAATGTGATTCTTTCCTTTTTCATGAATGTTTTGGGAGCAAAAACTATACCATCTTCTGGTAGTCATTATTAATTTGCTCAAATTCAAATATTCTCTGTTTGACTCAGTGATATGCTAAATCATGAACAGTAATTGCTCTTCGATCATCAGATCTTATTTGATGGACTCAGTTATTGGTTTTCTAGAAAAGAAGTTTGCATTAATTTGTTATTTTTAGCTATATGTATATGTACATATCTTTAAAATATTAATTACATAATGGTGTTACAGATCTTGCTGATTTTTGTTTTACAAGTCTGCAGTTTTAGGCTAAGATCCTTTATATTTAAAGAAATATAGCAAAACATTTCTTGGCTATTTGAAATTTTAAGATTTAATACTTTATATATATATTTAACCTTAAAAATTTTATATTGTTATTAATGCAATGTATATTTCAATTTTCTCATCTTATCCATTAACCTGACTTGCCAAGTTTTTTTTTAACTGACCAATTCTCTGAATTGAAAGTACAACTTAAATTATATTCACATGGTTGGCATGGAAAGAAGGAAAATATGATTTGCTTTTGAAAGCTTATCTGCTGTTTAGTTGGATTAAAGCAAAATTGAATGGAAATTTTCTTAAACCTCTGGCTAATTGTTTAATACTTTAAAAACTGTTAGAATTGATCCTTTTATGTAAAGTAATAATTCAGAGAACACTTGGCTTATTACACAATGATGCTGTAAAAGTGAAAAAATTTTAAAAATTGACACTTAACTCTTATTTTGAATAGGTATCATAAACTGGGAACAGGATTTAATCCCAACACATTAGATAAACAGAAAGAAAGGCAAAAAGGTTTGCCAAAGCAGGTCTTTGAATCTGATGACGCTCCAGATGGCAACAACTACCAGGATGATCAAGTAATGTTTTTGTTCTTAAATGGCTATAAGAAGTTATTTTAAAACAGTTTATTTATTAATTAATTGTATTCATATTTAATATTTTGCATGACAGGATGATCTTAAAAGACGTTCAATGTCGATAGATGATACCCCGAGGGGTAGCTGGGCCTGTAGTATCTTCGACTTGAAAAATTCCCTTCCTGATGCTTTGCTTCCCAATCTGCTTGATCGAACTCCAAATGAAGAAATAGACCATCAAAATGATGACCAAAGGAAATCAAATCGTCACAAAGAACTCTTTGCTTTGCATCCATCGCCAGATGAGGTATAGATGTTTGCATATAATGAAGGAAATGATTATAATATTGATCTTTTGAGAGTATGATTTATAGTACATATAGTAGTATTACAGAAGTGTAGAGAATAAAACTTGACTGAAGCATAGCTATAATTTTTGTAAATGAATACTTTTTATACTTAGTGAATTTATTTATGTATTTTTAACTTTTTTTTTTTTTTGAGTCAGAGCCTCACTCTGTTACCCAGACTGGAGTGCAGTGGTATGCTCATGGCCACCCAGCGTCGAGCCCATGCTGGGCTCCAGTCATCTTTCCACCTCAGCCTTCCAAGGAACTATAGGCGTGTGCTACCACGCCTGGCTAATTTTTGATTTACTATGGAGATGAGGTCTCGCCAAGTTGCCTGGGCTGGTCTCGAAGCCGCGGGCTCAGACAAACCACTCGCCTCAGCCTCCCAAAGTGCTGGGATAATGGGCTAAGCCACTGAGCTTGGCCCAAACTTATTATTCTTAATAAATAACTTCTGTTAATTGAGCACACTTATGATTGGAATGTCTTTTGTCCTATGGTGATGGGTATAGGCCATTCTTTCTTATGTCCAATTGTGAAGATTAAAAGTATTATATTGGTAAAATACATTTAAAAAAAATAAAATGAAAGAGTTGAAATATGATAAGCATATTTATTTTGGTGTTGCTTATCAATTCGTAGGAAGAACCAATAGAACGGCTTAGTGTTCCTGATGTACCCAAAGAACATTTTGGTCAAAGACTTCTTGTAAAATGTCTATCACTCAAGTGAGTATTATTTATTTCTTTTACTGAATAACTTTTGTTTTCTGGGGTGATATTTTGAGTACTAAAGTAAGGGAATCTTAGTAAATTTTATATTTGCATTTGTGTCTTTTGAGAAGTATTGTTCTGTACGTTATTTTAAATGCTATTTAGCATTGAAACTTGAAGCTAAACTTTAGAACATTTTTGGTTCACAGATGAAGATATCTTTTCACCACCACTTATTGTTAGTCTTAAAACTTGAAAAATATTCACTAAAATCTCTAGTATTGATAAGACACTATTCTTGATTGGGGAATATACATGGTAGACTTTGTTTTTTGAAGGTAAACGTTTTTCCTTTTTTAAAAAAGATGACTTTTGCTAACATCACTGAGGTGATGTATCTTACATTTATATTCTGCTTTACAAAGTGCTTTCTCTTATGTTATTTTTTGTAATCTTCAGAATAATTCTATATGGTAGATATTCTTTTCTTCATTTAACAATCGAGGAAACCAGGATTCAAAAGGATTAGTAAAGGTTAATTGGCATGCTCATTACTATGTGGTCAGTAACTAAAAAACCAGCCTTATGTTCTTTTCATTACATCATGTTAATACTACAAATTAATTATTAGTTTTAACTTAAGAAAAAAGAGGCTTCAATTTATAGAACTGTCTAAAAGAAGCAATTCATAGGTAGATCACTTTGGTGTATAATTTCGGCAGTCTCCTAGTCTTATATGTTTAGTTAGAGTTATCCCAGAAGCCTGCAGAGACATTAAGTGCACGGAGTCTTTCCAGTATCTGGACATCTAACATCAGTTCTTATTTAACATCTTCTTGTTTTTAACAGCTTTATTGCTATATCATTTATATATCACAAAATTCACACTTTTAAAACATGGAAATCAGTGGTACATATTTTTAAAGTTGTGCAACTGTCACTACTGTCTAATTTCAGGGCATATTAATCACCCCAGAAAGAAACTTCATACTGAAACAACAGAAATTTATTTCTCATAGTTCTGGAGACTGGAAATCAAAGCTCAGAGTGCTGGCGGGTTGGTTTCTGATGAGGCCTCTTTTCCTGACTTGTAGATACCTGCTTCTTGCTGGGTCCTCATATGACCTTTCCTCTGTGTGCACTGAAAGAACCAGGTTATTTTGGTGGCCCTTCCTCTTCCTATAAGGACGCAAGTTCCATGCGATTAGTGCCCTATCCTTAGCACGTCATTCAACTTTAATTACCTCCTCAAAGGGCTCATTTCTAAATACTGTCCCATTGGGGGTTAGGGCTTTAACATACGGATTTTGGGGGGAATACAGTACCCATTAGCAGTCACTCCTTGTTATTCCTTTTCCTCAGCCCCTGGCGACCTCTAATTTGCTTTCTGTTTTTATGAGTTCATTCTGAATATTTCATATAAATGGAATTATATAATATGTGGCCATTTGTGTCTGGCTTCTTCATATAGTGTACTGTTTTTGAGGTTCATCTGTGTCGTAGCATATATGAGGAGTTCATTCTTTTATATGGCAGTACAATATTCCACTGTGTGGCTACACCACATTTTATTTATCCATTCATTAGTTGATGAACACCTGGGTTGTTTCTGCTCTTTTTACTATTTAGGCTTTTTTATTTTTGGAGACAATGTCTCACTATGTTGCCCGGGCAAAGCTGACTGCAGCCTTGAACTCATGGACGCAAACCATCTTCCTACTTCTGCCTCCCGAATAGCTTAGACCAGGGTTCCCCAGGCCCTGGGCTGTGGACCAGTACTGGTCTGTGGCCTGTTAGGAACTGGGCTGCAAAGCAGAAGGGAAGCGGCAGGTGAGTGGGACTCTGTCTTCTGTCAGATCAGTGGCATCATTAGATTCTTCTAGGAGCGTGAACCCTATTGTGTACTGCACATGTGAGGAACCTAGGTGATGTGCTCCTTATGAAAATCTAATCCCCCATCTCTTGTTCATCTTCCACAGAACTGGTCCCTGATGCCAAAAAGGTTGGGTGGCGCTGGCTTAGACTACAGTAGTGTACCACCACACTCTGCTAACTTTTAAAAGTTTTTGGTAGAGACAAGGTCTCACTATGTTACCCAGGCTGGTCTTAAGCTTTTGGCCTCAAGCAACTCCTATCTCTGCCTCTCATGATGGTGGGATTACATATAGGTCTGAACCACCAGTCCTGTCCTGTTTGTACTTAAAAAAAAACCACACATACTTTATTAGTATATAATTTACATGTTATATAGTTCACCCAGTATATACTCAGTGTACACCCAGTGTATAATTCACCAGTGAATTGAATTCACCTAGTGAACCCAGCGTACAGTTTAGTGGGTTTTAGTATATTAGATCTGTGCAGCTATTATCTACAATAAATTTTAGAGTACTTTCATCATCCAAAAAGGCATTCCATACCTGTTGGCAATCACTGTCTGTTTTCCCCAATTTCTCCAGCCCTAGACAACTACCAGTCTACTTTCTGTCCCTGTAGATTTGCTTATTCTGAGGATTTCCTATAAAGGAATCATGTGATATATGGCTCTTTGTGTCTGACTTTTTTCACTCAGTTTTCATAATGTTTTCAAGGTTTATCTATGTGGTAGCATGTATCAATACTGCCATTTTCTTTTATCTCTGAGTGGTATTTCTTGGGATTGAAATACCGCATTTTGTTTATCTTGTCATTAATTAATGAACATTTGGATTGTTTCCGCCTTTTGGAATGTTATGAATTATGTTTAATTTATGTTTTTGTGGGACATATGTTTTTGTTTCTCTTGGATATATACCAAGGATTGGAATTATGGTTGGTGTGATAAATTCATATTTAACTTTTGGAGGAATTTTCCAGACTGTTTTCCAAAGTAGCTGCATCATTTTACATTCCTATCAACAAGTTGTAAGGATTCTAATTACTGCACCTTCTCACCAACACTTGTTATTGTATGTTTTTTGTTTTTGTTTTTTTATCATAGCCATACTAGTGGGTGTGAAGTAATGTCTCATTGTAGTTTTACTTATGATCCTTATGACTAATAAAAGTTGCAAGTTTGTTATTTCTCCCTTAGAGAAGTAAAACAGAATGATTTTTCACACAACTGTATTTTCTTTAGCTTTCGTTTGATCAGACTTGTTAAAAATTCTGAATTAAAAACTGGCCTCGGTGGCTTAGCCTGTAATCCCGCGCTTTGGGAGGCTGAGGTGAGTGGATTGCCTGAGCCTGCGGGTTCGAGACCCGCCTGGGCAACTTGGCGAGACCTCATCTCTACAATAAATAAAAAAATTAGCCGGGCATGGTAGCACGCGCCTGTAGTTCTGGCTACTTGGAAGGCTGAGGTGGAAGGATCGCCGGAGCCCTGGAGGTCGAGGCTGCAGTTTCCAGGAGCGGCCACTGCACTCCAGTCTGGGTGACAGAGTGAGACTCAAAAAAAAAAAAAAAAATTCTGAATTAAAAATTATATAATTTGATTTATCTGTGATAAGAAAAACCAGCTTTAAGGTGAGAAAGAACTTGAGATCACACAAGTTCAGAAAGGGTCAGACATGATAGCTTTAGTTTAGCTAATTATAGAAATGGACACATTTTTGAAACTTATTTTTGTTACATTTTGTTCTCTAAGACTAGCCTTCCCTTATTCTGCATATGACAATTGTTTCTAATATTAAGAAGATTATTAGTCAGTAACACATTGGTCTAGACATTCAGGGAAATACCTACCAGGCGTGGTCAAGCTGATATGAATTTTTTGAAAGCCTAGAAATGCTAAGGGGGAGAGAGAAAGAAGAGAAAGAAAGGGAGAAAGGGAGAGAGGGAGGGAGGGAAGAAGAAAGGAGATAACCTAGCCATATCTATATGGCTCAAGATTTGTAGTGGCCCTAGGTATCTAGCAGGAGGCTACAGCAGTTAATTGTTTTTAGAGGAATCTATAAAAATCTAGCCCTCAACAGATTTCTATAGATAAAGCTCTAGTTTCTGTCATAAATCAATAAACATAGCAAAATAAACTGCAGACCTGAAAAGGACTACTAGTCTGATTTAGAAGATAAAATAAGTATTTTTGATATATTTAAGTAAATAGTCATTTAAAACATATTACAAAAGACAAGAGACTCTCAGAATTGACCAGAAAGATTTTTTAAAAATTCATTTTATCTTTTTCAAATTGTTATAATTGAAATTATAAACTCTTTTAGGTGGGGTAAACATAGGTTAGATAAAACCAAAGATTGAATAAGTGAACTGGAAGATAAAACTGAACAAATTCACAAATAATGCACACAGAGACATAAATAGGTGGAAAATACGAAATTGATGTCAACAGAAAGCCTAATTTGAATTCCAGAATGGAAATAACTTAAGGAAGAGGGAAACAGTGATCGAAGAGATAATGAAAATTTTTCAGAATTTATGAAGCACAGTAGTCATTCTCAGTTCTGATTGTCTAGTGGCGTCTAGGAGGGATAAATAAAATGAAATTTATACTCAGACCAAACATGCTAGTATTGCAGAATACGCAAAACTAAGATAATGTATTAAAAACAGCCAGAGAGAAAAAGAGATTCTATGCAAAGAAATTGCAATTAGCCTAACAGCTGATTTATCAAAGCAACAATGGAAGCTGCAAGACATTAAATGATATCTTCAGTGTTGGTCAGAGAAAAAAAACTGTCAATCACAAATTTTATACCCAGTAAAATGATCTTCCAAGAAACATATTCTTGAAACAGTTTTTTGCTGCAGTATAAATACCACCTTAAAATGTATTGTTTTAGAACAAGTGTTCATTATTTCTCCTTATGTGGGTTACCTGGGTAGTTCTTACAGAGTGGACCCATTTGGCTGCAACTGTATAGTTTATAAAGGTCTCAGTTCCATGTCTGACGGTTGATGGACAGGTTTGTCTAGTAATCTCTCACTTATATGTTTGGCAGTTGGCTCAATGTAGCTATGGTTTCTCTCATTTTCCAGTAGGCTAACCTAGACTTATTCATGTAGTGGTGAAAGGGTTTCCAGCAAGAAGAGAGAGGAAGCTGTGAGGCTTCCTGTAAACTTGGATTAGAACTCTTACAACATATCATTTATTGATCAAAACAAATCACAATATTAGCCCAAATTCAAGGTGTGGGGAAACAGACTTCCCCTTAAAGAGCAGATCCACAAAGAATTGGTGTTTACTTTTTTAAATCTGCAAATGTTGTAGTAAATAAATTTTTTAGACTGATTAAAAACTGTACTTGTTTCCTAACAACATTTTATCACTAAAAATGTAACTTGTAAAGGAAGTGCTTCAGAAAGACGGATTTTATTTTTATTTGTTTTTTATTTTATAAATGTGGGGTACAATTCAGGGTTAAGTATACAAATGTTCATCATGCAGGTACCCTTGTTCTGGCAGAATCCCACTACTGCCAATTCCCCCCACCCCACCCAGCAATTTTCCACTACTGACAGTCCTCAGAAAGAAGGATTTTAAATAGAAGAAGGAATGGTGAGCAAAGAAAGAAATGGAAAAACGTAGACTAAACCTCAGTATTTGCTGTAATAGTGTCTAGTTTATGAGATTAAAGAAATTAAGATAGAAGAAAAATAATACAATGTGTAAATTGGGGGATGACTAGGGCTAAAGCATTCTAAGGTCTTATTATTTGGGAAGATGATAAAGATATTGATTAATATTAGACTTTTTAAGTTAGCTGTGTATTTTAAAAATTCTTGGGTAGCCATTAAAAATAGAAATATAACTTATAACAAATAAGAAGAAAGATTGGCTTGAAAGTGGAACTATAAGTCAATCTAAAAAGAAGGCAAGAATGGAACACCTAGAAAAAGTAGAGCAACAACAAAAAAATAAACCACTAGAAATGAATCCAAAAATAAGTTTTGACAATAAGTATAAATGGTCTAAACTATCCATTTAAAAGAGAGAGGTTATCAGACTGTTTAAAAAATTTAGTTATATGATTTTTTAAAACAGGAGATCTTCATAAAACATAAGCTTTCAGAAAGGTTGAAAGTAAAAATATGTAGACATATTTGACAAATATTAACCAAATGAAAGCTAAGGGAACAATATTAATGTAAGAAAATATTGGGTGAGTATGATGGCTTGTCTGTAATCCCAACATTTTGGGTGGTGAAGGTGGGAGTATTGCTTGAGGCTAGGAGTTGGAGACCAGCTTAGGCAACATAGTGAGACGTCATCTCTGCAAAAAATAAAAAAATTAGGTGGGCATGGTGGCGCATACCTATGGTCCCAACTTCTCAGGAAGCTGAGACAGAAGGATTAATTGAGCCCAGGAGTTTGTGGCTATGGTTAACTGTGATCATGCCACTGCATTTCAGCCTGGGTGACAGAGTGAGACCCTGATTTTAAACACACACACACACACACACACACACAAACCACATATCAGACAAAATTGACTTATGTTAAAAAAGAGGGTCAACACATATTGATCAAGTTTTCAAAAGTGTAATATCATAATTGTTTGTAAGCAAATGTGAAAATACACCTGATTTTTAAAAAGCCTGAAGGAAATAAGTCAACTTATCCTTAATGTCTTATAGTGGGCCTTTGGGAGATTACAAATGGTTTCGTGCTTTCATGGTTTTTGTTTTCTCAGTGTTTTAAAGAAATGAGCAGTATTGCATTTATAATGAATAAAAAATACCTTTTTGCAGTTTAGTGGTCACTGAGTATGGCTAGTCCTCAAATAGTTTGTGATGAAAGATAAATTTAAGCATGCCTATGTTGGTAGTATGGCAATATTGTGGTAGCTTTTTTCTGAAGTTACTAATTTCAAATTGCATTCTGAATGCATGAAGAATATACATTTTTAAAGAAAAAAGGAAAACACCTCACATATATGTCTTTGGCGGTCATTCATCTAATGGAAGAGACTTTTGAAACTTAAATCATGTAATGGATCTAATTTATAAATTCTTGTCATGCATTAATAGTCTTTCTTAAAATAGAGCACACTAGAATTGTGTTAATTTCTTCAGGTTGTTTTCTCTAGAGTTCTACCCTTTTTTTCATCGTGTAATAATATGAATCTTAAGAATACTATAGAAGAAGTTATACAGGAATTTTCTGGCATTAAATTATATGTTGGAGTGCTGGTTTTCTGAATATTTTTAGCTGAATCTGAAACTTATATAAAAATGCAATAGCTAAAAGGAGGCAGAACAGTTTTGAAGTACTTTACCAAAAAAAAAAACAAAACAACAATCAGATATCAAGACACAGTATGAAACTGTTGTAATTAAGACAGTACAGTATTAGTATGTGATTGGACAAATAGATCACTGGAATAGACTGAAGAGTGGAGAAAGACCTACATGTTTGTAGGTTTTTGATTTGCGATAAAAGAGGGCATTACAGAGAAGTATGGACTAGGTAATCTTTTCAATAAATTGGCAGTACAGCTGGATATCTGTTTTTCTCTTTCTCCTCTCTTCCTCTTTCTGTTTCTGTCTCTCTCTCTTTTTTGAGTTGGAGTCTCATTCCTTCGCCCAGGCTGGAGTGCAGTGGCGTGCTCACGGCCACCCCAGCGTCGACCTGCTGGGCTCCGGCCATCCTTCCGCCTCTCAGCCTTCCAGGTAGTTAGGACTACAGACGTGTGCTACCACACCTGGCTGTTTTTTATTTTGTTGTAGAGACGAGGTCTCGCCAAGTTGCCCAGGCTGGTCTTGAACCCGCGGGCTCAGGTAATCCACTCGCCTCGGCCTCCCAAAGTGCTGGGATTACAGGCTGAGCCACTGAGCCTGGCCTCTCTCTCTTTTTATATGTGTCTGTCTCTCTTTATATGTGTGTGTATACAAGAAAAGAAAACTTGACCATCACCTCATATCATATGTAAATAATTATTAAAAAATTGATTTAGTAGACCTAAATGTGAAAAAAAAAGTTTCTTGAAGACAGTATAGGGATATCTTCATAATCTTTTAGAAAGAAAAATATATTTTTTGACATGACACAAAAAACACTACCCCAGAAAAAAACATTAATACATTTTACTTAATTAAAACTTGGATGAACTTTTGTTTATCAAAAGACACAAAAAGTGAAGACAAGCTACAGAGAGGAGAAGATATTTCCAACGCATGCACTTGGCAGTGTGCCCATATCCAGAATTCATAAAGAACTACAGATTGATGAGGAAGTCAAACAATAAGTAGAAAAATGAGCCAAGAGAGGATAGCCATATGGCCAATAAATATATATGAAAAATCCAGTGTGATACCACTTACCTACTGGATTGGCCAAAATAAGAAAGACTGACAGCATCAAGTTTCATAGAGGATGCAGAATATTTTTTTTTTTTTTTTTTTGAATTGGAGTCTCATTCTCACCCAGGCTGGAGTGCAGTGGCATGCTCATGGCCACTACAGCCTTGACCTGCTGGGCTCAGGCGATCCTTCTGCCTCAGCCTCCCAAGGAACTGGAACCACAGGCACACGCCACCATGCCTGGCTACAGAGTGTGTTTTGTAGAGGCTGGCATACGTGGACAGGATCACAGGATCTATTTTCATTTGGCTTCTGCTCAGAGAGGCAGTAGCGGGAAGTTAGAAGATGGAGGAGAGTGAGATGAAATGGGTTGTTCATTTCCCCAGCTCCTTCCCTGCTGAGTCACTTAGATCTTTTGCTTCTTTCTCCCCATCGCCACTTTCTGTGAAGGCCTTTTTATTCAGCTCTCCTTTCTAATTTTTGGTTACTGCTTCCATGTTCTCTTTCTGGTCTATGGTTGGTAGTAAGACCTGCTTTTGCTAGCCCCAGAAAATGTACTCCTGTAGTTCTTTTCCCTAGGTCCTGTCCAAATCATTGCAAATGGCCTTTTAGTAAAGTCTTAACCTAGTGTATGTTGGTAGTTTCCTGTGAAGACCACAATCGATTCTCTTATAATACAATGTAAAGCAATGTAAAGCAGTGTTATCACAACCTCAGTACCATGGACATTTTGCCCAGAGTTATTTTTTGTTGGGTCTGTCCTGTACAGTGTAGGATGTTTAGTTACATCTTGGGCCTTATCCACTAAATGGCAGGAACACTCCTGTCGTGGTGATAACTGAAAATGTCCCCTGGGGAGAAAATTTTCCTTGGTTGAGAAGCACCACTCTAGAGTTTTAGTTAACCTCACGTATTATTTCATTTAACAAATATTGACTAAATGTTTACTGTATGTAGGTCATTGTTCCTAGAAAGGAATTAGGCATCTCAATTAAGTATAAAATAAATTTTGGGCATATTCATAGAAGGGGAATTACTGTGTCAGCATTAAAAATGGATGGTAAGAATAATATTTATGACATGGAAATTTGTCCATAAAATGTTAAATTTAAAAAGTAGACTATAAGACATGATGTGTACTGTGACGTACTTGGTTAAATCCATTTAACAAGTGTATTTATTCATAAAGTCTAGATGGATTAGGCATTAAACTGTTAGTTATGGTTCTTTGGGTGTTCATGTTTGAGTATTTTAATGTGTTTTCTAAGATTTTTGTATTGAATATATGATTTATAATGTGAAAAAGAAAACATTAGGCCTTTATTTTAAAATAAGCATATCTATGTAAGTGACCAGGTTAGAAAGTTATTAGTGCCTCAAAGTAGACATCAGATGCCATGAGGCTTTTAGGCACCTTGAGATTTGTTGTAACTGGAGCAGCTAAGGAAGATGGACTAGAGGAGGCTAGGTTGGTTTAGGCCATGGAGGACATGCTTGGAAGAATGTATTTCAGGAAGAAGCTTTAGTATAGGCAAAGGAACAGATCTAGAAAAGTGCCAGGTATTATGGTAGTTTAGTTTTGGAATAAAAAATTTCTCTCCAGCTATATCTTTTATGTTTATCTTAAAATTATTTTATCACTTTTCTTCATAAAGGTTTGAAATTGAAATTGAACCCATTTTTGCAAGTTTGGCTTTATATGACGTCAAGGAAAAGAAAAAGGTAAGGTTATATAATTTGACTCTAGTCATTTGTCATAATCAGGTTTTAGAAACCTGTTCTTAAGTTGTTTTATGAGATAAATAAGTTTTTGAGAATTATTTAAGAAGAAAATAGAAATTCAATTTATGAAGACTAACTAAATATTTTCTTATGGAACACTTTTATTGAAAACTGGTTTCTGTTTCACTGAGTACCAAAAGCAAGTAGCCGAAGCACATTTCTTTTTTATTTAATTTAAGAATTTAATTTAATTTGAGAAATAGAAAAGTTAATATAAGAAAAGCATTTTAAGCAAGTAGAGCATAAATTGGCACATTTTAAAAATTCTTACCAGCCAAAAGACCGTTTTTATGTATTTCAAATATTCTATCTTAATGCTCGAGTTTTACTATCAGATCTTTATTATATTTAGAAGTTTTTCAGAAAACTAACTTAATATAGCATTCCTAATGTTTTAAACCAAATGTGTAGCTGAAACTGGAAGTGCTTTTAGTGACTTCTGCGATCAACATATGATATATTATGGATTTCTTTAATGGAACTCTGCTCCTGCAACTTGTATTTGCTAAGTAAAAACTGCTGAGATATTATTCACATCGTTTTTTAAAAATTCAATTTGGGGCAACTCTCTTGGGTCCCTTCCCACTGTGGGAGCTTTTCTGTCCTCTCAATAAATCCTGCTTTCAAGAAAAAAAAAATTCAATTTGGAACCATTCATCTTAATAATAATTTCTTTGTATACTTTATTAGCAGTTATATTTTTAATCAGAAGAGTTTGGCATATGATTCTTTAGAACATGTTTATTATATTTCCCAAAGAGCCTGTATACCTCTTTCTTCTTTGCTTTAGACATGTAAAGATTGGTCTCAGTGAAACATAATATAAACTCTAGGTTAGAGTATAAATGTCCTGGTATTTGCATAAGACTGGGTGTGTCTGATTTTTGTGGACTTTTGTAAAATGTACAATTTCTAAAACTTAATATATGAATATATTTTTCAGATATCAGAAAACTTTTATTTTGACCTTAATTCTGAGCAGATGAAAGGATTGCTACGTCCACATATACCACCTGCTGCCATTACCACCCTGGCAAGATCAGCTATTTTTTCTATCACTTATCCTTCCCAAGATGTTTTTCTTGTAATAAAGGTGAGAATAATGCTACATATATTTGTTCATTTGTGTAGTGTCTGTATACTTGTCTCTCTATCAATTTTGCAGATTTTTCAAGGTAAAAAATTTGACCTTTCCTTTTTTTTTTAATCTTGATATTGTTTAATACAGTGTTATACGTACATTGTAGGTGTCACTTAATCTTTCTTGAATGGGAGCTGTATTAGTCAGCTTTCTCCAGAGATACAGAACTAACAGGATATATATACACACGCATATATATATATTTCCTATTATCTGTATGTCTGTCTATTTGTCTATACTGAGAGAGGGATGGGGAGAGAGATTGACTGATTTTAAGTAATTGCTTTACGCAATTCTAGGGGCTGACAAATCTGCAGTTTGTAAAGTTTAAGTTTACAATTCTAAACTCTACAAATTCTATTCTACAAATTCTATATATAATATATAGTTCTATTCTACAAATTATATATATAATTTTATAAATTATAAATTCTAAAATTGAAATCCTAGTAAGCTACTTTGCTTAGTGTAATGTAAAAAATAATTTACCTTAACTTCACCTTGACTTGAGAGTAGCCTAAAATATATTCCTTAATCACTTTATCTTTATTTATATAAAATTATCATAAAGAGGTAATGAATTTTATAATAAGGTTATAAAGTGGATTGTCGTGAAATGAGCCCTGTTTACCCACAGGAATAATGTCCTAATTCATACATTCCTATGAATTCAGGTTAAAATAAATCTTAGTTACAGTGAACAGTCCTACAAGCAGTCACTTAGCAACAATGGTTTTCGGAAGCTCACTTAAAAAGTAAAGTTTTAAAAATGAATATAAATGACAAAGAGAATTAACACAGATATTTTATATAGTAATTCCAGCACCTTGGGAGGCAGATGCGAGAGGATTGCCTGAGCTCAGGGGTTTGAGACTGGTCTGGGCAACTTGGTGAGACCTCGTCTCTACAATAAATAAAAAAATTAGCTGAGCATGGTGGCTCATGCCTGTGATTTCAGTTACTTGGAAGACTGAGGCGGAAGGATTGCCTGAGCTTAGCAGGTCCGGGCTGTGGTGGCTGTGAGCCACTGCACTCCAACCTGAGTGATGGAGACTCCAATTCAAAATAATAATAATAATAATAACAACAACAACAACAACAACAGTAAGTTTTCAGGTTTTAGAGTGAATGAGCTGGTGAAATAGAGATGATGACTGGAATATTGGTTGGCTTGAAAATGAGATTGTTTAGTGATAAGATTTGGTTGCCATCATGGGGAGTGAAAGGTTTAGATAGGATTAATGTAAATATTCCTATAGGGGAATAGGAAGATAAATCATGGTATATTCATATGATATAATACTATGACCATTAAAATCACAATTTAGAAAAACTTTAAATGGTATAGAAATGTATGTGTGATAGAATGTTAAGTGAAAAGTAAGTCTGATACAAATCAAACGATATTGTATTATTCCACTTGTATAAAATATATATACACACATAACTATAGTTTTTATGTAGGAAAGACTGTAATTTCAAAAAGAATAAGTAAAATAGTTATTTACATCTTAAAGAAAATATATTTGGAAGGTTTTCTTTAATCACTTGTGATCCATCAGGATTATTTTGTTTCTTGAGAGAAAAAGTTTCTTGATGTATGTATCAGTTAGTTATTGCTATATAAGAACAAAAAAAATAAAATCCTGGTGGAATACAACAATAGCATTTCTTTAGTTCATGCATCTAAGTTTTTCCTTGGTCTACTAATGGTAAGATGGCTGAGCTCTTTCGGGTGTCTGCAGGTTGTCAGGGGTTCAGTTGATTGAGCTGGAGGTATTCTTGCCTGTTTGTCTCTTCATTTCCAGCAGGCTAGCCTGGTACGTTCATGGGATTATAGAAGTGCTGACTAGCAGACCCAGTTGTGCAAGTGGTTTTCAAGTCTTTAGACACATTGCACCAGCTACTGCTCCATTGACCAAAACAGGACACGTGACAGAACGCAAACTCAGGGCATTGGGATACATGTCTGTTATCTCCATTGGGAGGAACTGCAGTATCACACAGCAAATAAGAGGACTACAGTAAGGGTGAAGAACTGGACTGTTTCCTATAATTTAATCTGTCATCATCTGAGATGCTGGGATTCTGGTTCGGCCAGGATTAATTCCTTGCTTTTTTGGTGTCCTCTTTATTAACATAGTTACTTTCTGGTTAACATGTGAAGGAGTTATGCCACTGTATTTTGATTTTGGTCTATCTATATTTGCCATTTGAGAGAACAAAAATACAAACCATATAGACAAAAACTTGGATTATAATAAGGTGATTTTAATACAGTACACAGAAAATTATTTTAATTAAATTTGTATTGAAGGATGACATAATTATAGAAAGAACACAGTTTATAAGTATATAGTTTAGTTATCTCAAAATGAATACACTTATGTGACGACCCAGCCAGGTTAAGAAATAAAACATGAGTGGAATCCCAGATACCACCCATATGACTCATTCCATTCCCCTCTTCCTCCCTCTTTCTCAATTTTTGCCTGATTTTGAACATTGTACTAATGGGATCAAACAGGGTATATCAATATATTTTTATCTTCCTTATTCTATTCAACATGATTGTCTGGTTAATCTGTGTTGTATGTAGCTGCTTAAAAATTCATTTTCATTGCTTAGTAGTATTTTATTGTATGAATGTATCACAGTTTACCTATTTTACTGTTGTTGGATATTTTGGTGCATTTAAGTTTGTGATTTTTATTGGTAATTCCGTGAGCATTTGCAGCCCATAAGGATAGACATTTGTACTCGTTTCTGTCTAGTATTTTCCTAGGAGTACAATTGCTGAGTCATAGGATATTTGTATGTCAGCTTTGGTAGATGCTGCCAAACAGGCTTCTAAAATATCTGTGATGGTACAGTCTTATCAGCAGTGAATATGAATTTTAGTTATTTATACTTGTCATTGATCCATTTTTAAAAATTGAAATACAAAATACATTCAGTGTGATTCATATAATATACATATCTGAGGTGAACAACTGGATGAATTCTTACACGTTTTCATCAGTGTAAACACCACTGAGCTCAAGTTATACAATATTTCCATCACCCTGGAGGGTTCTCTCATTTCTCTTTATGGTGACCACCCCCTCCCTTCCATCAGATAACTAGTATTCTAACTTCTGTCACCACCATTTAGCTTTTCCTCTTCTTGAATTTCGTACAGTCATATAATATCCAGTTTTTTTTACCTAACTTCTTTCAATATAGTGTCTGTACTACTATTGAATATTATAAAGAATGCTGTTACAAACAGTCTTGTACATGATTTTTGGTGCAAATATGTTTGCATTTCTATTAGTTATACAGATGGGTTGAATGACTAGAGCAGAGGGTATTTATATAGTCAGTTTTGGTAGAAACAGTCAGTCTTCCAAAATGTTAGTACAATTTGCTCTTCCATTAGCAGTTTGAGAATTTAATTGTTCTGTGTCCTTCTTAACACTTGCTATTATCAGATTTTATTTTATTTCACATTTTAATTTTATTCATTTTACTTATTTTTGATATGTGTATAGGATTGTATCAATTTGGCTTTAATTGACAATGCCCGGTAACTAAGAATGTTGAGTAATTTATTGGCCATTTGGACATTCTGTTTTGTGAAGTGGTTGTTCAGATTGTTAACTCATTTTTAGTGTGTTTGTGATTTTTAGTGCAATATACAAAAAGTACACAAATTTTAAGTGTGCCACTCAGTGAATTTATATATGTCTGTTCATATATATGTGTGTATACCTGTGTGTTTCACATCAGTTTCATTGGATTGTGTTTACTGTATCTTATTAATTTGTAAGAAGCTTTATATACCCTCTGTTCAGTTCTACTTTGAAGTCCAGTTTTGCTATGAGCTGAATTTCTCATGCACTTGATTTGGTTTCAGGACTTTCATTGTATTTTATCTGTATTTCTTTTTTAAAAGAATCTTAAAAATTTTATAGATGGAAAGTGAGACATCTTGGATAAATATAAGTGGAGATTATTGTATTGGCCACTTAATATTATTTTGTGAGTTGTCATTCTTAAATCATAATTTTGTAGCTTATACAAACAAAATTATATTTTTTAAAATTGTCATTTTACATTTTGATATATTAACTGGAGATGCATTTATGATGGACTGCTTTTTAAAATTTTTAAATTGTAATAAACTATGTGTAACATAAAATGTATCATCTTAACCATTTTAAAGCATGTGATTCAGTATTAAGTATATTCACGGCCGGACTCAGTGCTGTAATCCCAGCACTTTGGAGGCCAAGGTGAGTGGATTGCCTAAGCCCACGAGTTCGAGACCAGCCAGGGCAACTTGGCGAGGCCTCATCTCTGCAATAAATCAAAAATTAGCCAGGCATGGTAGCGCATGCCTGTAGTTCTGGCTACTTGGAAGAACGAGGCGGGAGGATCACTAGATCTCAGCAGGTCGATGCTGGAGTGGCTGTGAGTGTGCCACAGCCCTCCAGGCGGGGCGACAGAGTGAGACTCCAACTCAAAAAAAAAATATATATATATTCACATTGTTGTGCAGCCAGTCTCCAGAACTTTTTCAGATTGCAAAACTGAAACTGAAACTCTACACCCATTAAACAGTGACTCCCCATCTTCCCCAACCCTTGCCAGCTACCATTCTCCTCCCTATTTCTGGGAATCTGACTCTACTCTAGGCACCTCATCTTAGCGGAATCTTAAAGTATTTGCCTTTCTTGTGACTGGCTTGTTTCACTTAGCATGATGTCTTTAGGGTTCATCCAGGTTGTAGCATGTATTAGAATTTCCTTTTTTTTTTTTTTCTAAAAAAAAAAAACAACTGAATAATGTTCCACTGTGTGTATATGCCACATTTTGTTTATCCGCTCATCTTTTGATGGACACTTGTGTTGCTTTCATCTTTTGGTTCTCGTGAATAATACCGTTATGAACATGGGCGTACAAATATCTGTTGGAGTCCCTGCTTTCAATTCTTGTGAGCATATACCTGGAAGTGGAATGGCTGGATCACATGGTAATTCTGTTTTTAATTTTTTTTGGGAACCTCCATACTGTTTTCTATAGCAGTTACATAATTTTGCACAAGGGTTCCAGTTTTTCCACATCTTTACCGACACTTGTTTTCTGGTTTTTTGTTTGTTTTTGTTTATTTGTTTTATTTGTTGTGTAATCATCTTGATGGGTATGACATCATATCTTATAGTGGTTTTGATTTGCGTTTCTCTAATGTGTTGTAATGTTGAGCATCTTTTCATATGCTTGTGGGCCATTTATATATCTTCTTGGGAGAAATACCTATTCTTTTCCTTTGTTCATTTGTCATTAAGGTTTGGTTTTCTATTGTTCAGTTGTAGGATTTTAAAAATGTATTCTTACATTTAACCCTTTGTCAGATATGTGCTTTACAGATATTTTCTTCCATTCTGTAGGTTGCCTTTTCACTCTATTTTGTCTTTTGATGTAGTCTAGTTTATTTATTTGTACTTTTATTACCTGTGATTTTGGTGCCACGTTTAAGAAATCATATAGTAAAGTAAAGTAACGTAGGTCTTACATTTAGGTCTTTGATCCTTCTTGAATTAATTTTTGTATATGGTGTAAGGTAAGGGTCCAACAGTGTATGTTAAAAAGATTGTACTTTTGCCATTGAATGGTCTTGATATCCTTGCCAAAAATTATATGACTGTATATGCAAGGGTTTATGTCTGGGCTTTCTATTCACTTTTATTAGTCTGTATGTCTATCTTTTCACCAATACCACATTCTTTTGATTACTGTATTTTTATAATATATTTTCACCTCAGGAAGTTTGAGACCTCCAACTTTTTTTTTTTTTCTTCAGTTTGTCTTGAGATTCCATATGAATTTTAGGATAGATTTTTCTAGTTCTGCAAAAAAAAAAAAAAAAAATTCATTGAAATTTTGACAGGAATTACATTTATATCTATAGATTGCATTGGGTAGTATTGACATCTTTTTTTTGTTTGTTTTTTTGAGTTGGAGTCTCACTCTGTTGCTCAGGTTAGAGTATAGTGGCATGCTTATGGCCACCGCAGCCTTGATCTACCGGGCTCGTGATCCTTCTACCTCAGCCTTTCAAGTAGCTGGAACCACAGGCATGTGCTAACCACACCCAGCTAATTTGATTGATTGATTGATTGATTGACTGTAGAGATGAGGTCTCACCAAGTTGCCCAGGCTGGTCTCCAACCCCTGGGCTCAGGCAGTCCCTTCGCCTTGGCTTTCTGAAGTTGTGGGATTACAGGTATGAGCCTCTGTGCCCTGCCAGGGTGACTTTTTTTTTTTTTTTTTTTGAGTTGGATTCTCACTCTGTCGCCCAGACTGGAGTGCAGTGGCATGCTCTCGGCCACCGCAGCCTTGACCTGCTGGGCTCTGGCGATCCTTCCGCCTCAGCCTTCCAAGTAGCTGGAACTACAGGCACGAAT